CTGTTTAAATTAGTCTATTGCCAGACACAAAAACCCTAAGGTGTTTGTCTGATGACAACAAAGGAATGAAGTTTAAACTAAATAAAAAAATTTTAAATGGTTATAATACTCCTAGAGTCTTATATGTGTATCTAAATGTCATAAAATTATTTATAGAGTTAAAAGTGTATACATGTAAACAACTGTAGTTCTTTTACATAAGGTACCTTCTAATAAGGTCTTTAACATTTCTGCCTTTATGACAAATGTAAAAGATCTGTCACTTAAGTCTGAAATTTGTTTGTCAGCTAAGCACTTGTTTACCTGACATTTCTTTGGCAGCTAAATATTGGTTTATCTGACATTTGCTAGATATATACAATTGAGCATCAAAATAGAGGTTATTTGACATTACTGATATTGCCATCCCTTAACCATTGGAAATTTTAGGGTTGTTAATTGTAAGTATTGTATTGACAGTACTTACCTAACCAAAATTCAAGGTTTAAACTGTGGTGCTGCTACTGGCTCCTTTACATGCTATGTGTCTTTGTCATCTTCAAATATATAAGCCTTCTAACGTAATTATAAAAATACACTATACCAAGTTGGTGTCTTAGCCTCTTTTACAAGTTTTTGTGTATGTTCCCAACTGTAATAAGAGGTTTAGTAGTACTATATTATTAATTGCTAAACTATTAACCACAGTAACTTTAAGTTTTGTCATTATTGTTCCAGTCCTATTCAGACATTTATAGACAAGCCCATGGAAGATGATTCTGACAAGTGTTTATCTATCAACCAGGACATACTTAAATATTGGGATCATTTTGTGTCTTCCTTGTAAAGCTTTATAACTGTTGTCTCTGACACTTTACAACAACTTAACGGTGTCAGTAACATCTGCTATGGGACAGACAGATTTAATTAATCCCAGCCTAAGAGCCATTTTTTAAAATAAATGTCTTTGTTGCTGGATTTGACACTAAAGGTCTCATTGGCATTGTCTTCTGATCTGTTGGAGTTTCCCTCTTCCTGGGACAAAATCTGACTTTCTGTGAAAATCTTTTCCTGCACCAGTGGGCAAAACTGCCAAATTGGCAAAATCTTCAGAAATGACTGTTCAAAAAAACAGTTTAAGAGGATGTGACCGCCGAGAAGTCAGGATCCCCAAACTTCTCAGAGGAACAAGTGCATTCAGCCACCCAAGACAGTTCAAAAGGAATGCACAGATTCAGATGGAGTCAATTATGCCAGACCTCTAAAAGTATCCAAAGCTGAGAGATTTTTTAAAAGGTGCTCTTACACATACACATGTGTTCTAATATTTATGCCTTTTCTAGGATTCTGGCAAAAGGCAAACACATGTCTTTGGCCAAGACCTTCTAAACACAGGCAATATAACTTTCAATGGTATCTAACTTCTGCTTAAGGACACTGTGAGTTTTCTCTGTATGTTTATTGTCTAATTGGACTGACACCTGTTCGCTGGTACACCTGGCCCCTGATGTAGTCAGCCATTAACTGCCCATTATAGTGAATGTCCAAAGTAGTGGGCCATCTAAGAGTTAAAAATAGATACAGATATACCTATAGACAAAGTACCATAAGACTCTCATTTTCCAAAATAAAAGATTAGATTCTTTATCCTTCTTGCTACATCAGGCAGGACCCCTTCTGATGCTCCAATCATTGTTAATTTCCAGTTTGTGCCTTCTAATAAGATTTATCTTTCCAGAATGAAAGCCTTTAGGACACAAATAATAAGATAACAAGGCTATTGATCTCTACAAATAAACAAGGTCTCTGTGAACAACCCAGATCTCCATGAGAAACCTTAACTATGCTGGACAATAGTTCAGACACCTCATGTCCAAATGAGTCCGAAGAGAAAGAAACAGGAGAGAACATTTCCCTTTACAGATAGGGTCTTCTGCCCCTTGTCAGCTTGAAGCAGATACTGAAGATGTACAGTCACCACTTCCATAACACCCCGAGACTTTTTTTTAAAATATTGTCTCTCAGGGAGAATTTGAGGCAGACTAGAAGTAAGAAATGTTTGGGGCTCATGTAGGTTGACTGGGGATGGCCCAAACTACCCTCACCTGTTCAGAAACCACCCAGGCTGCTGCCTACTCAATAATTACTGGGTGGGAATCTCAATTACCCTCACCTGGCCGGGAACCACCCATGCCCTTCCCAGTAATCAGTTATTGGCTGGGAATCTCCTTCCCTTCCCTTAGGTTAATGGTAGATTTTAAAAGTAACTGAGAGGAGAATCATGGTTTCTCAGCTTTGGGATTCCACTGGGCCCCACCACTGTTCCCTTTGTATTACTTTTCCCTATCTTTTAATAAATTCCATTTTCACCCATGTGTCCTACTATGATTCTTTCTGGTGGAATACAAAGAATTTTTAATCCTTCTGATCACAGACTACACAAGCACCATTAACACAGGGGCATTGTCTTAGCTCACATCAATAGGCAAGCTGGAGAGAGACTCAATCTCTGTAGTGCCATTTGTGGTTTGGCCTGTTAAACTGGATATGAGTAGGAACCCAATTGACTACATTTGACAAGCTACAACCATCCCAGCTAGACAACACTTAAATTGGATCTCTGGGTAAATGTTCTATTTCACAGTCCTTTTGATTCTTTCACTTCTTTTTGTTGTATTTTTTTCTGACTAGCTTTTTACAACATTTGGCAAGTCATATCTATTGCTAAAATAATTACTTTGGACTATGTATTCATTCTCATTTTCTTTCCATTAGTATAAGTTTTACTTTCATTAATGTTTCACTTTTTAGTCTATCTCTGAGTCTTTCTTCTCCAAGAGTTAAAATTTTTGACATTGCTATTTTACGTTCTTATGTGGTTTGCTTTTACATTTTTGCTAGTAATGCTGAATGATTTTTCCCTCCAATGTTGTGCTGGGGGTTGAGACAAGGAGCGTGAAAATGTAGGGTGCATGCTTTACTCCTGATATATTACCACACTCCATTTTATAGAAAGTGCACCTTGAGTTATATAAGACTTAATTCATGGCAAACTAAGGTGTATACCTAAGTATAAAAAATACCAGGGACAAAAACTCCTGGCTGACAACCAGGCCAGAAGCATGCACAGATACAGAGGGATTAAAGAGCTACTACTGGACAACTACCACATAGAAACAACAGAGAAAAGTAACAAAACTTCCATGGTTAACATCTGTAAGGAGAATCACGATAATCCATTTCCACACTTTTTCCCACCACACAGGAAGATGTGGAGAACACAGGCAAAGACCACAAAAATGATGGAACATGATAATTAAGTACAAATATCTACTCTTGCCAGCAATACCAAATGTTCTTGTAGTTTTAGATATCCTTCTCTAACTTTTTATTACCCTACAAATCGCCAAAGAAGAAAAAGTGTAAGCTCTTGATTATATTGAAAATTGGACAGAGTTTAAAAACAGACCTGAGATGTAGCTCTTATTAAGACCTCTCAACATGTATTTTAAACTTCAAGAGTGTTGGACAAGGTAGTTAAGATTCAGAGTTTGAAAATTTAATATTGAATCCTATAAATTGTAATTAATATTTCTGTTGTGTAGGGCAGGTTGTTTTTATCTGAACATTGACATTTAAGTTAATTTCTACTACAAACTACTTCATTGAGGAATAATTAAACATGTGATAGGTACTCTATATGGTATACAGTATAGTGCAAGTATATAACTAGGGAATAGCAATATTTAGATATTACTGATTATACTCAATGATAATTATGTGCAGTTCACATAAACTTTTCTGTACCTACACTTCTCATATTTCTCAAAGAAAATTTTATTTTTTCTTATATAAATGTGTATTTGGAGAAGAATAACTACTTTAACTTCATCTGATTTCCCAGACTGTAGCTTATTTGGTCATTAAGAAAAATATGTTTAACTATTGAATAAATCTTTCCTTGTATCACACAATGTTGCACAAATCACTGTGGTTTCACACACTTGGTGATTTTTTCCCTCCACTTTTCTGTTTTCAGGAATATCCTATTGAAGTATAGACAATATTAAATAAATCTTCTTGTGTTTATATTAAGTACATATGAGATCTACAATGAATTTGATCACATATGCATGTATCCATTACTCATAAACATAGTCCAGATTTTCAAAAGTGAAAGAAAGTTATTGGCACAAAGATAGGGAGGCAGGTAAATATTATGCCTTGAGCTGAGTTACATTCCAGATATTCACACTATTTCATTGTTATCTACTAATGTGCATAATGATGAATTTCATTGTATTTCCATGCATGCATCTGCTATCCATTTCTTTACCTTATTCTCCACTCCTAATTCTTTTCCTTTTTCTAAGAAATCCCTAGTAGTCCACTCTTATTTTTTTGATTTTGCTGTTTTATATTTTTCCACACGAGTTCAATAAATGAGAGAAAACATGCAATATTGGTCATTGTGGGACTGGATCATTTACTTATTGATTTATGGTTCCACCCATTTCCAGAAGAAAAATTATTTAATTGTCCCTAGTGACTGAAGACTCCACTGTGTATGTATCCCATATTTTATTCATTAATTCATCCATTGAGGGCACTTAGACTTATTTGATAATTTGACTATTGTGAATACACTGTAATAAGCATGGATGTACAGATATTTCTGTTATAAGCTGACTGATTCTTTTGGTATACACAGATGTGATATGGGTGAGTGATATGGGTGTTCAGTTTTTAATTTTGAGGATCATCCATAGTTGCTGTCTAAATTATATTCCCACTAGCAGGGAATAAGAGTTCCTTTCTATACACATCCTCACCATATTTATCAATATTTATATTGTCAATAATAGTCACTCTGACTGGTATTTGGGGGAATCTCAATGTAGTTTATATTGTCAATATTGGGATTTGATCATAGGACATCATGCTTGCCACACACTGTAAATCCTGAGCCACACCAAAGACCCATTTTAATTTAGTTTCTCTTTAATTTATTTTTCAAATAGGTTCTCTTACTTTTGCACTGTCCAGACTATGACTTCATAACCCCTACCTCTGTCATGTCAGAAGAGGGCATTACAAAGGTAAACTGCCACATTCAGTTCACAATGTAGTTTTGGTTTATATTTCTGTGCTAAGGCGATTGAACATTTTTTCATGCATTTATTGGTCATTTGTTCTTCAATTGAAAAGTGTTCAGTGCACTTGTCCAATGTTTGACTTGATTATGTGTTTTTTTAGTGTCACTTTTTTGAGGTGTTTATATATTCTGGATGTTAATCCCCATAAACATCACTATGTGACAAATATTTTCTCCCATTATGTAAGCGACATTGTGACTCCATTGAGTGATTGTTTTACTATACAGAAACTTTCCCACTTATAAAATTTTGCTCTTATTTCCTGAGAAGCAGGGAAATACTCACTACTTCTTTGTTTACATTCCAATAATAACGTGTTTCCTGTTTTTCTCTAATAGTTTCAAGTTTTAGGTCTTTGATCCCTTTGGATTTGGTTTTTGTACATGGTGAGATTCACACAATTGCAGATTCAACAGCAGTTTCCCAAATGCATTCTTCAACAAATTCATCCTTTCCACAATGAAGAAATTCTTTAAAAAAATCACAAAAATCAATATTAAGTTCAAGACATTTTTTGGTGCTACATATGTCATGCACATAGTGTACTTTCACCTTTTCCAAAAAATAATATGATTAGAGAGGAAGAGATTTGCATGCATTCTGCACTTAGTTAATAATAATGGATTGCCATGCTGATTTTAGGCCACCCATTCAAAGACACCGTCCCCTCTACTTGAGACAAATGGATATATTCTTCCAAGGACAAGATGAAATTTATTTGTGTGTTGTTATAAACACACAATGTGCAGACTCCATGTGTATTTTCATGGTATATATAAGAATAAGAAGAGATAGGAGACAATGTATCACTTTGCTGGGGAACAGATGTAGGTGATTAATAATAAAAGCAAATATGCCTTATTTGTTGGAAATCAAAATTTTATCTAACACACATATACAATATAGAAAATCTCACTTCAGTGAAATAAACAAAGGCACAATGTTTTGAATGGATCCTCAAAACAAACTTGCATATTAAATACTTGTCCCTTTTTTAGGTAATGCTATGCATAAAAGCATTTTAATTTGATGTGTGTATTTCAAAGGGATATGTAAAACCTCTTGCTGATGTGTCATCAAGAATTTTGCACAGCTTTTTTGTTGAAATTTCTTTTAATCAGATGCCATATACTGAAAATTTGATCATTTAACCAAGTAAATGTATTCATGAATGCGATTAACAATCATGAATTAAGCAATTTAATAATATTTGGAAAAAATCACTGCCATCCAATAAGTATTGTAATTGTTATCTCCATTTTCCAAATCAAGAAACTGTCAATGCATATTTACAGTAGTGCTGTGCTTTTCATTTTTGTCTTTTATCCCATTTAAATTACAGAGACACCTAGAAAATAACCCAATTTGCATTCACATAACTGAAGTAAGGAATAGTAGTGCATACATCAACAAAATTTACATAAAAATTATTAACTCCTCATGAAGACATTAAGACTGAAACCTGGGATTGTGGCTTCTTGGGTTCTCAAATTTGCAACTTGAAATGAAAGGAATGATAATCAGCAAAAGAGTGAAGCACTGTCAGCAGTTCACTGTGGAATGCTGTATAAAAAAAGTAAGGACATATAAGAGATTTTTTTTGAGTTGATAAAACTTTATAAACATTGCAGATTTTAAATTAAATTTTTTATGTTTGGAGATATAGTATTTATATATTTTAAATATATATCCAATTTTCAAGATTTTGTAAAACAAAACAAACTTTCTTACAAAAATCAGTTAATACTAATCAGTTGATATTTTCAAGTTGGTTTTATCATCTCCTATAAATTTTACTTTTGCATTTTGGCCCCTATTAAATGGTAGCAGTTGAGACAGTATGAAGAACTGGAATTGCTTTCTGATAGCTCAAATAAGAGAGCTTCAGTCCATGGTCAGGAAGCCTTGACAGGAAAATCTATCAAGTATTCATTAGAAGGTTACCTTTCAAACCAGTGTTGTGGGACTTTACCTGGTACTCCGTTTTTCATCTACAAAAAGAAAGTTTATGACCACAAAAATGGAATCATTAATACCAGGTTAGTATTAAACAAAGTATTGAGCTAATCAATTGAGCAGTCAAGAGATGACTTATATACAAATATTTTATTGAGATTTTATGCTTTGATACAAAGAAATCTGTATCAAATAATAAATATCAAAAGTGGTTCTTAACATTTCATCATATTTTAACAATTGGCTGGTAGGGTGTACACTTATGACATATTTGTTGTTAGCAATGTTGTAAGATTATGTGGGTTTAATTAAAATATATTTATTAATGTTTGGTGGTCACATAGGGTAAAGATAGGAGTAATATTTTATTTGATTGAGTAATTTCCTCCAAAAAGTAGAAAAATTAGAAAACCAAAAATTGATGAAAACATCATGGGATTACTATCCTCCAGAAATTTTTCTGACTAAGATGTGTCATTTTGAATTTAGGATTCCAACAATTGATTTCAAGCACCTATGTACTGTTTCAAATATGCTAAGACTCAAGGAGATTTGCCCCATTGTAGAATAAAGTGAGGAATATTTGACTGTTTCTTAATACTTTAAATATATTTGGTTAAAAAGGGAAGGGTATTTATTATTCTCTCTTTTATCTTCATAGAATAATATGTATTTGACATGATCGTGGGCTTATTATCTCTTACAGTCTTGGTCTTCTAACATCATGTGTGTTAGTGGAGTATCTCTAAATTCCTGTGCATAGGAAATAAATAACATGGAAATTAGTAGTGAAAGAGTCTAAGAAGATTGATTTGATTATAACTGTTAAGCATTTTAAGTGGGAATGGTTCACTTGTGAATATGTGAATTTAACATTTACATACTGGTAGACTTTTCCAAATTCTCTTTAATTTTCCAAAAGACATCCAAGAAACATGCAAATACATAATCTAACACAGGTAACAAGATTTCTCTTCATGGGCTATTTATATGGTCCAGAACACTAGCACATTATCATTGAACTTGTCCCACCTGTGTACCTGGTCAGAGTGCTTGGGAACCTGCTAATCATCAGAAGACCCCTCACCACCAGGCCCTATGTCTTTCTTCCTCTGAAGCATGTTATGGGCTGAGATCTATTCATCTTTACCACAAACCCAATGAAAAGTTTGCATACACAGCCTCATAGGAGTATGGTCTCCTTTGTTGGGTGCCTAGTAGAGTTATCACTTTTTATTCTTTTTTGGAGCTATGTGTGGTATTCTTCTGACTATAATACACTCTGCTTTTTTATGTCCTTCTTTATAGTTCTGTATTACCTAGTAATTATACACCAAGGCCTCTTAAGACTTCTGAGTTTTGATATCTTTCTTGTAAGGCTCTTGGTCTCCCAGAAGGGCTATTTTATTATCTTACAGTTTACTAATTTCAAGAATGTAGAAATTGAAAATTTCTTCTGTGACACTTCTCATGCCCTTAATCTTTCCTGTGTTACTTATTCAGTAACATAGTCAAGTATTTTTTGGTGCCAGTTTAGTAAGTCTTCCATTCTTGGGGATTCTGTCCTCTTACTATCATTGTATTTTTCCATTCTGAGAACCCCATCATAAACTGAAAAATGTAAATTATTTTCCACAATGAGTCTTACTTATAAGTCGTGTGCATGTTTTATGGAACAGGCCCTGGTTTGTGCCTTGGTTTACTTTATCACATTATTTCCAAAACAACACCATGGCTTCCATCAGGAAGTAGAGTATAAAATTCATCATAGTATCATGAACCCATGTAGAATACTGCCTATGTGCCAGGCACTGTGCCGAGTGTTCTGTGTACCTTGTTTCATTTCATGTATATCACCTACCTCATGCTACTTATATATGCCTAAATATAATTATTATTATTATTTAAAAGAAAATGAAAGATTGCATTATTATTACATAACCAATCCTACTTTTTTAGGTATAGTCAGTGAAGACATACTTATATTAAACTGTCTGATTAGACACCCAGTACCATTCCAGGTGAATCCTTGATGGTGGTCTTCTTAACAGTTTTGTCACTGCAAGAACAGACAATTGTGGGGTTTTGGGGTTTTTTTTGTGTAGTACTAGGGTTTGAGTTCACAGCCTCTCGCTTGCCAGAAAGTTGTTCTTACTACTTGAGCTACTCCAACAACCACAAGACTCATTGATTACTGTGGTTTTCTTTTCATGTTTCCTGGGAGTCACAGGAAACAGCAGTGTGTGGCACTATTTGTACACATTATAAGAGGACAGTTAAAAATCACAGAAAATATAGAGGAATAATAATACATCACAGACCCTTCTTGCTCTTACTCCAGAATAATCTTGTAGCTGAGTTTGTCTCCACCATGCTTGTCATCAGTTCATTTATCCTCCAATGGAGATTGAGTGTTAGTGTTTGGCTTCATGATAGTTCATGGAATTGCTAAAAGTAATAAAATGTACCTGAGATGCACCTGTGGTTGAAGCCATCAGACCTCTCCTTTAAACTTTCTGACGGCTTGCAATTAATAAAAAATTTAGTAAACTGGACAATTTAGTAAATATGATAATTTAATTGTTCTGTTATTCATTTATTCACATGCACATACATTGTTTGGTTCATTTCTCCCTCCTGCCCCCCTTCCCCATCCTCTCTCCCAATAATTTAATTTTTAAACCTATCTCAAACTTACTGTTTCTGAGATATAGGAACAGGCTTTTAGTATGTTTGAGACTCAGCATTGCCCTCCATATTGATTTCTAGTTGAGGCAATAGAATTGAGTAAAGGTTAAGTAAAGAACGGTCACTCTCTGCAAGATTAATTTGTGAGGTGTATATTTTAAAAGGGCAAAATAAAATTTAGATGTGATTATTATTTGTATAGATGAGTCTATTCCTTGTATCATTCAAGCAAGTTTTAATATGATCTAAAGTGATGTTTTTTTCTATTTTTTATGAGACATTTTAGTTTTGTGGTTTTAAAAATATATAGTACTTAGAGATTAATGAGTTACTATCATTTCTGAGTCCCCATAGTTATGCTTCAATTGACAGAAAGGTATCAAAATCTTCAGGCATTGAATTACACATTGTTTCATTCTCCAAAATTCACCTAAATCAGTTTTGGTTAATCTATTTGATGTTTGCTGCCTCCACTTTCATGTATTTTAGTGATTTCCTATATAATTTTACTGATTTCCCATATAAATGGAGACAAGCTAAAATACCACTCTGTTTGTGATCCTCTCATGGACATATACTACCATTATTGCTACATAGTAGCAGCTGGAAAATTCAAAACTAAAACATCATGGCAGAGATTTAATGTGAATTAAATTGGGGAAAAAGTTGAATGAGGAGGTAGCTTGTATATCTCATTATTCTAAGTACCATTGTCCTTTGAAAATTTCATTAATTGGTAACATTAATATTTCTCTCACAGAAAATATTTTAAAATTTCCAGATGGAACTTACTGCCACACAAGTTGTAGATATGCATCTTATTCTGCTTAATTCCATTAAGCAGTGGAGCACAAAGAGGTGGAAGGATTTATATATTTCTGCATATAGGAGCAAATCAGCGAAAAAAGACCAAGAATCAGCTTGGTGAGTCCATTGAAGATTCTTGTCACTTACATTGGAAACATTATTCAATAGCCAGCTGAAAATTTCTTCAGGAGTTATCATGGAAAAAATATTGTTGGACAGACTGCAGTAATATTTTCTGTTATATTTCATGAAATAAAGGATGAAGTGAGAATGACTTGTTTTTGTAATTGGAATATGAATGTATATGGCTAATAGTAAAGTTAAATATGCATCAAATGTTGGCAATCAAACACATATCCCCCACTAACATATCATATAGAGGTTGTAACTTTTCAGTGTATACAGGTAGAAATAAGAAATTTTAAATGATTTTTCATGACAATAATCTTACAAGTTAGATGATATACCTCCTTTGGCTAATGGCAGGATTCACTTAAATCCTTTAAAAGAGATGTACAAACTTCACACAGAGACCAAAATTGACATGCAGATATAAAATATTGCATTACAATATCACTTTTAGAGGCATGGGTGATATTCTTCTGACTAATAGTCTATTTGTACTCCATGTTACTCCATAAGTTACAAAGTCATCATGAACCTTCACCTCTGTGGTGTCTTGATTATTCTATTTTTGTTTAAACTCTTAGATGACTACCTGCACAGTTCAATGTCTTTTACTTTACTTAATCAAGGACATGGAAATTTCCAAATTCTTCTTTGAACCTTCAGGATTTCTTAATTTTGCATGTCTTAACCCCTTATTTTCTTGAAATGGAATGCATTTCCCACTTGACGGATCCACATGTCTTATTGCAATGTTATTTCCACCATTCTGAGGATCCTATTTTCAAATTGGAGCCATAAAGTCTTCTGCATATGTAAGTCTCACCTCTCAATTGTTTGCTTATTTTAGTGGACAAGCACTGGTGTTTACTTTGGATCACTGTTTCACAATGTCTCCAGAAGACTTTCTGGCCTCAGTTATTTATACTGTTTTCACACCTGTATGGAATCAGTTCCTCTACAGTCTGAAGAATAAGGAATTTAAAGGCTCCCTGTAGAACCTGTAGTACAGAACACTAATCTCATGACTTGTGCCTCCAGTTGGAATACAAAATGCAACAAAAGAGTCTTTGGGAGGGAGGAAAGCTTAGTTCTTTTAATGTATACAAATATTTGGTTTGGGAAGTTGAAATTTATCTGAAGATGAATTGGGAGAGTTGTTCAATAATGTATATGTAATTGTTGTCAATGGGCTGTTCACTTGACATTGTGAAGAAATTAAATTTTAAATTTTACTTGTGCCATAATCAAAATGCAAATAAAAAGCAAATGAATCTAAATAAAATGAGACAAAATAAAGTCCCAAATACATGAAATTCCTCTTCAGTAGAAGAAAAGCCTTAAAATACTAGTTTGCATACAATTTCATTTTTTGCTCTTCCCCCATTAATATAAAGAATCCCCTAAATGTGATGATAATGTGGACCAATTTGGTAAATTATTACATATATGCATTATACACCAAAGTCTTAAAATAGTCAATAAGCAGATTGTGCATTTATTCCCTCATATTAATGACTCTACTATAGTGGGCTCCATACCTGTGCCTACTTGTTCCATGGTTGTTACATCAGTGACCTCATATCTGTGTCAGAATTCCTGTAAATCATGAATGTGGAATGACAGCTGATTGAGGACTAATTAGGGAAGGACAGTGTGTTGGAATTCCTTGCTCATGAGCAAAAAGAGATACATTATTACCCTATAAGTGCTGCAGTAGACACTGGATAGAAGAAGATCCATTTGAAGCACTGGTTCTTTATCATCAGGATATACATGCAATTTATTTAGTCAAACGGGAAGGGTACAAATGTGAAAAATTTGAATATGAGGACTGTGTGTTTATATATGAACATAAGTGTAACCTTATTCAAAGTTTGATTTCCTCTAACACTGATTCTATTTCCTATAGAAACTAATCCATAATAGCAGAAAATAGACTCATTTGAACTGTTCTGGAAACACTCAAAAAGATTTATGAATTTTATGGATTATATGAAAATAACAATAACTGCAAATCCATGAGTGATTAATGAGAGATTCCTTAGTTCCAAGTTCTGAGCTAAGTGGATTTTGTTCCATATAGACTGTTTGAATCTTCAACATAATCTGTCCCAAGTTATATTCCAGAAAAAAAGAGCACACAATATTTTATGTAATTTGGTTTAGGAATTGAAGTCAGGTTTTATATGATCTATTCGTAGAGACACTGCATCCAGCCACTGGGTACATGTCACTAACATTATGAAACCCCTTGATCACTGTTTGGAGTTTGACTGGGTGCAATAACAAGGATTAATTGTGCACCATTTCTAAATGGCAGGATGTGTCTAAGAAAATTTTTTCAACCATGTTTTAAGAAAAGATCACAATTTGATTCAGCTTTCTCAGTTCTACGTATACACCTGAAGGAATTAATTTCAATATGCAAGAGTAATACCTACATATCCACGTTTATCATGACACTATTCACAATTGATGAGTTTTGAACACAGCCTCAGTGTCCTCCATAAATTAATTAGTAAAGAAAATCTTGTACATATGTACAGTGGAATAATATTCATCCATAAAGGAGAATGAAACTATGTACTTTGCAGGAAATTAGATGGAACTGGAGATCATCACGGTAAGCTAAAAAAGACAGAATCAGAAAGACACATGTTAGATGTTTTTACTTCATATGTAGAATCTAGGAGAAAAGAATATGTATGTAGAATGGAGATGATATAGAAAGAGGAAGGGAAAAGCTTAATAAAAGAGGGTAACGGTGGTGAATGATAAAACTATATTATATGCATGTATAAAAATGTCATAATGAAATCCATTACCTTATACAATTCCATTATTCTCACTTAGCTAAGTGTATTCCTAGATGTTTTTTATTTTGTTTTTGAAATTTTCAGATGATCATTTATTTTTGAATATTCAGTTTGATAAAGTAGAAATCAAAACATATACAATATTAAAGAAAGCATGACAAATAAATGACATAAAAATATAAATTGAACAGCCTACATAAATGTTTGAAACTTTGATGTTCATCACAGTAGTGAAGAATAGGTTTCTTTAATTATTTACTTCCTAATAAGCGTATCTGACTGTTTATTGGGCCAGGATCTTTGATTTATGATAAACCTTTTCTTTAATACAAAGGACAATAATCAAAAGTAGAGAATATCATTCTCATTTTGCAGAGCTGGAAACTGAGTCATGAATAAATTAAGTATAAGCTCCAGGAAACTTGGCTGGCAAAAGCAGAGTCAAGACCTAAACACAGATCTCCCATTCTCAGACTTTCACTCCCCCTGCACCTCCCCACACACACCATTAAGGCATCTTGATATTTGCTTTCTTGATTTATCATTATGTTTGCTGATGTGAGATTTTTTTGTCTCTCTTCTATTCTGATTGTATCTGTTACCCAAGGTCATTCTGCCACGGGATTCCTTCCTGCCTCCTTCAGGTTCCAATGACATTGGCCTTTGAAGGGCACTAATCTCTAGATTTTTCTGCAGAGTTGGAATAGCAGTGACAGCAGTCAATGTCTCTACTATTCTCCTCCATCTTACTTCTGTTACTCTCACCACTGCTCTCTATGTAGTTTATTTTATTTATTTTTTATTTTAAACTTTTGAGACTGGGTCTTTCGTGTCACCCAGATGGAAATTGTAGTTCTCCTGACCCAGCTTTCTGGTTCTGGGATTGCAGCTTTGTAAAGTTGCTGAATGTGGTTAATGGTCTTTATATACCTATATGAAATAGAACTAAGAAACCTCTTGCCATTGTTTTAAGTGGCATGAGGAGGGAGTTGATGGAGAGAGATGATGGGGTAATCTAACTAATGTACAGTATAAGTCTAATCACAATTGTCACTAAGAATTTCCCCCTGTAAGACAAATATATCTTAATAAAAATGCATAAAAATTAAGATAAATGCAATCTACTGTGAGATTTTCTTCCATGTCAACCAAAACTGTATATCCTCTGTATACATACTAAAATGATGAGAAATGGGATATCATATTTTCTCAATTAATCGAGTCCTAAGAATTGTTTATTGATATTATTCACACAATTGTCTGATAATAAAACAATCTTCATATTCTTCTAATGAAGTAGATTTAAAGTACATTCTTTGCAAATATTTGAAAGGAAAGAATTTAAGAAATGTAAGGAGTGTCACATTATTTTTTGAAATTAAGATTGGTACTGAACAATATTTGACAAGTCTTTGAAAGTGGTAGCAGTAAATATTCAAAATGGTTGAAAAATGGTTCAGAAGCGAGATTAATTGTGACTTTATTTGTTCAAGAATGTTAAAAGAATAGTGGCCATTTTCCATGATGTGTGCAATGCTAGAATCCTTCAGTTCTTCCAATCCTTCAGTTATTCATTCAATTAACATTTATTGAGCAAGAATTCTGGGCCACGTACTCTGCTAGTTATTGATGAGTAAGAGAGGGATGAAAAATTATTCTGGCTCTATACTAATTGAAGAGGACTAAAATATACATAATGAAGTTATAAGAAGTACCTAATTAAATGTCCATAATTTTTACAAGACAGGCTATATCCTACAGGCACCCAATCCTTCCCACAGCACCACCATCAGAATTCCCAAGCCTCCCTGCTGACCCCCCTTCTCTCTGCAGGCCTACACAAGGATTGTCTGCCTTTGGAGGTTTTCAGTCTGTTTTCCCACTAAATATAGAATAGCTCCTACCTGGATAAACCTGAGCTTCCCACTATCCATTGGACTGGACCGTACTTTCTCTAATGAGGTCTTGAACTCTTCCAAGCATGTCCTAATCTTGGTAATCTTGCTCAGTACTGGGTTTCACATTTAGTTTTCTTATAAACCATCATTGCTCTTTTTTTCACAATTTAGTAATTCTTTATACTAAATGTACATTTTAAACTAATGTGTAGTCATCTTCTGCTTGGATCCTGAGTATGTCTTATTAATTTGTCTCAATTTGTTTCCTGTGTTAAAAAAATAATCCAAGTTACAAAAACACTTGAGAGCATCCAAACTTCTCACACCTGGAAAATAACAGTCTGGGATTTAAGGAGAACTATCATTCTAAAGTACATTGAGAGAGGGAATAAATGGAGAAAAAATTGATTAGCAAAGATGTTTGAATATGAGGAACATAATGCAAACTGAAAGACAATGAATGAGAGAATTGGGAAGAACTGGTTATATTCAAAAGTTAGAAGGATTGAGACATGGTGACAAAGAGGCATTTTGCATTTTAAGTCTATAGTGATTGACATAGTTTCCTTATTTTCAGTCTCAGCTTGTTAATTGTATAGAAAAGCTGCTAATTCTGTAATTTGTCTTCTGTTTTACTGGTACTCTCTGAAAGGGATTGTCAGATAGAAGGATGATTTTATGGAGTCAGAAAAGTCTTTTAATTATAGGATCATATCTACAATTAAGTGCAGTACAACTTGTTCCATTCCTATTTGTGTTAATTTTGTTTCTCTTTTGCCTTGTTGCTCTGGCTAAGAGTTCAACACTATACTGGATGATAGTAGAGACAATGGTGAAATTGTCTCATTTATGACTTTAGAGGAAATGATTACATTCTGTTATTTAGTATGATGTTGGCTATAGGCTAGTCTTATATAACCTTTACTATGTGGAGATACAGTCCCTTCTATTCTTAGTTTCCTCAGTGCTTTTATGAAGAACAAATATTAAATTTGTCACAGAACTTTTCTTCATCTATTGAGATGATCATTTGATTTTGTCCTTTATTCTGTTTATGCATTATATCATGTTTATTGATTTGAATATTTTAAACTCCTTTGCATTCCATGAATGAAAATAACATGATCATGGTGAAAGATCTTGTAATGTTTCTTTGAATTTGGATTGACCGCATTTATTGAAAATTTTTCATTTATGTTCATCAAAAATAATCTACAATTCTCTTTTATTTTTGGTCCTTATCTACTTTTGATATCAGCATAATTCAAGATTCATAGAATG